ACCATTCGGGCCAGCAGAAGATGGTATGGAGGTTAAGGTGGCTGGACCCCACATGGCTAACTATGCTGTTCAAGTCCCAGACCCAACGGATTGAAAACAATTCCAGGCACATGTGCATGCATGTCCAAAGGAGAAAAGAATGGAGAAGGGATTGCAGCGTGGCCATCCATAGGGAATAATCTCTCACTTTTCCTCTCTCTGTCTCTTTCCAGCAAGCACATAAGCCCTATGGTAAAAACCTTAAAAAATGAATGACTGAATGAATGAACAACTCCAACTATGCCTCTGGATCCATGATAACATAAAGAAATAGGAGATACTCACCAACTGTTCAAAACTTAAATGTAGGCACTGATCTATCAAATAACTCCTATCGAACAAAGCTGATACACTGGGAAATTGAGTTATAACATAAACTTTAAAATGTTTCATGAACACAGAGGATACATCAGTACCCACAGGTGATAAGTTCAGGCAATATAAAAGGCTTCAGAGGAAACTGAAGATGTCGTGTCTTTTAAAGGATCATATTTAAATCCTATGAGTGAAATGTTTCAGAGAATTTCAGTAGGGTATTGCAACCTAAAATAATCAAAAAGTAAATAATAAAAAACAGACAAAATACTTAGTATAATAATTTTCAAGACACTGGACATCAAGCAGTGAAGAACAGGGATTGCTGAGAAATGAGAAACAAACAAAGTGCGCTCTATGTTTGCCCCAGTCTACTGGACCCAAGAAGAGTCTGGGAGTGCTGAGTTGAGGAAATGACAGTCAAAGAAAATAGAAATGGTTAGAATTTTCAGAACAGAGGAGAGGACAATATAGAAGAAGGAACCAAGCCAGGCGCATGTGTGTTCATGCCCAAAATCCCAAGTGAATGGAGGAGAAAGGATTGCAGCATGGCCATGGCCCCTGGGGAGTGATTTCTCACTTTCCCTCTCTGTCTCCCTCTGTCTCTCTCCACTCTGGAGAGTGCATGTGCCCTCTGGCAAAAACCTGAAGAAAACAAAAAGAAGTTATTCTATGTATGATGAAATACAGTATACAACTATAGACATGGAAAATATAAACCCAGATCAAACTTTGAAAGATAAAAATTATGTCTGAGTTAAAAAATACACTGAATGGGATTATCTTTAAAAAAAAAAAAAAAAAAAGCAAACATTAAGAAATAAAATCATCCAGGGGCCGGCAAGTGGCATGGTGGTAAAAGGCGCTGGACTCCCACATGGCCAACCACAGTTCAAGTCTCAGACCTGGTAGCTTGCTTTCTCACTTCCTCTCTCTCCCGCTCTGTCTCTCTGATCAAACTGGAAAATAATAATGATAATAATAATAAATAAAGTTAAAATAAAATAATTCTTTAAAAAAAAATAAAATCATCCAAAATGCTATATACAAAGAAAAGATATTTTTTTTTTTTTTTGAGAGGTTTTTGCTATAGGGCGCGTGCGCTCGCCAGACAGACAGAGACATAGAGACAGAAAGCGAGAAATCACCTCCCAGGGGGGATGGTCACGCCGCAATCCCTTCTCCTCCATTCTCCTCTCGGGATCTTGGGCACGCACGCACACGCGCCCGGCATGAGATTTAAGCCACCGGGTCCGAGACGCGAACCGCGGTCGACTACGTGGGAGTCCAGCGACATAGCCATTACGCTAACTGCTGGTTCCCCAAAGAAAAGATAATTTAAAAAATAAAAAGCGGATTTTATAGTTTTGGGTTCAGCATGTAAGAAGTTAGAAGTCATCAATCACCATGTTCTCTTAACAAAAAATAAAAATAAACAATATTTCTTGGGTCCATAAACAAGTGAGGTCAAAGGGCAAACTGCTGCCCCCAAAATTGGAGACAGGCAGATACAGTAAATCACAACTTACTGCAGCAAAACCTCTACAAAAAAGCAATACCTGGTTAAGAAAACATGAACTGTAATTAACCATCTATTGGAGGCTCAGTTGGATAAGTCCCTGAGTTCAAAACTCAACAGGAATTTTCTTTTTTTGGTGGGGGGAGGTTTTTGCTATAGGGCGTATGCGCTCGTCAGAAAGACAAGAGAGAGACAGAGAGATAGAAAGCGAGAAATCACTCCCCAGGGGGGGATGGCCATGCTGCAATCCTTTCTCCTCCATTCTCCTCTCAGGATCTTGGGCATGCACGCAGGCGCGCCCAGCATGAATTTTAGCCACCAGGTCTGAGACTTGAGCCGCAGTCGACTACATGGGAGTTCAGCGACATAGCCATTACACTAACTGCTGGTCCCTCAACAGGAATGTTCAAAGTCTTACTTTTAAGTTTTATGCAGGGGCCAGCAGATGGTGTGGAGGTTAAGAATGCTGGACTCCCACATTGCCAACCATGGTTCAAGTCCCAGACCTGGCAACTTGTTTTCTTGCTTTGTCACTTTCTCTCTCTCTCACTCTGCGCCCTCTCTGGTCAAATTAAAAACAAATAAATAAATAAAGTTAAATCAAATAATTATTTTTTTAAAAAAGTTTTATCTAGTCAAGTGTTACCATGTTCTCACAGTGAATATTTGAGAAAAATTCCCTAAACTCTGGCAGGGGGAGGGCAAAAGTGACAAAGAAATACAGTGGAAAAGTATTCTCTTCTTCTAACAAGGCTTGTGCTGAAAAGAAACTATTTTAGCAGGCCCTATGTTACTGGAGTTTATCAGTCTAACTGACTTAGAAGGAGGAAAATACCCAATGCCAACCTCCTACATCCATACCATCCCATCAAAGTGGGGGTGAGAGACCTGAGAGGTGTGAAGTTAGACAGCAGGCTCACTAGAAGACTGAGACCTAATTTTGCAACTACAGATACTTTCCCACATCCTTACCATCACATTGCTAAAGGGCTATTTACAGGAGTTCCTTTCATTCAGTATATCATGTCTGGCTTTCAACAAAATATTGCAAGGCATGCTAAAATGCAAAAAAAACTATTTGAAGAAACAAGGTATATATTTTTAACCCCTATTTGTAAATGTTGAGCATCTAATGGGCTTCTTTTATATTAACAGGTAGTAGTAGCATATCTGGGTCAACATACAAGCACAAAGAGTGAAATACTTACCTAAGAATATACATAATTAAAAATCAGTTATAGGGGGACCAGCAGTTGGTGTAATGTTTATATCGCTGGATGCCCACGTGGTGAACTGTGGTTTGCATCCTGGACCTGGTGGCTTAAACCCAGTGGCTTAAACGTTGGGAGCATGTGTGCGTGTGCCCAAGATCCCAAGAAGAGAATGGAGGAGAAGGGACTGCAGCATGGCCATCCTCCCTGGAGGAGGGTGGTTTCCTGCTTCCTGTCTGTCTGTTTCTCTCTGTCTCTCTAGTGAGCACACGTACCCTATAGCAAAAATCTCTCTCTAAAAATGAAAATAAAAATCAGTTATAGGAGGTCAGCAGGTGATGTGGTTGAGGCACTGGACTCCTACATGACAACAGTGGCTTGAGTTCCGGACCTGGCGGCTTGGTTTCTCACTTCCCTCTCTTTCTCTGTCTCTGGTAAGCATATGTGCCTTATAGCAAAATAAAAAATGATAATAAATAAAATTAAATAAATTCTTTTTAAAATGTTAGAAAGAAAAAATCAGTTATAGTGTATTATCTGGAAAGAACAATTAGCTTTGACAATAGTAGCTAGAACTATAATTTTCTTTGAATCAATAAAAGCAACCTAGAACCACTGTAATGATGATACCTAATACTTTATATTTTTCTTTTTTTTTAGGCTTTTGAATAAGCTCACCAGAGAGCTACAGAGCGAAACAAAGAGAAGGAAAGTGAGAAATCACCCCCAGAGGATTTTGGGCATGTACATACGCACGTGTGTGTGAACACATACACACACCCAATGAGATTTTCAAGCCACCAGGTCCAGGACTGGAACCACGGTAGGCCATTAGGGAGTCCAGAGCCTTAACTAACCATGCTACCTGCTGGCTCAGTAATTTCCATTTTTCTATCTTCATTCAAGGTATATAATTCATCAAGTCAGGTTATCAGATCAAGTCAGGGTACTCTAGCTGTCACTTCATAACAAAGGAAGCAAGATGCTAAAAATCACTGTTCTAAGTGTTTGAGGGGGCTGGCCGATGACATGGTAGTTAAAGGCACTGGACTCCCACATGGCCAACTGTGGTTCAAGCCCTGGACCTGACAGCTTGCTCTCTCTCTCTCTCTTTCTGGTAAAAATTGAAATATAATGATAATAAATCATTCTTTAAAAAAAAAAAAAAGTATTTGAATCTAGAAAACTTCTTACAAAGAACAGGCTTCCAAATTTTGGAGATTCTCTAACTTTTATAAAACAAGGGAGATGTATCTATCAGGTGTATCTATCAGATGTATCTATCTTCTTTTGTCAAAGAAGCACCACATGTAGTTAATGCTATGGATAACCAAGGCATGAATTCTAATTCTGGTCTTGCCATCTAAATTTAAGCAAATGGTTTTTTCTGTGACTCACTGTTCTTATGCAGAAAATAAAGAGATTAGATTAGGTAATGCCTTAATTTTTCTCTACCAACATTGTAGACGCACTTCTTGATGTTAAACTTAACCCACACAAAAAACAACTATCTTTATGAACAAAAACACCAAGATATTAGAAATCAGAAACCACAAAAATGGAATAATGGACATTAAGGCCTGAGGTCAGTCAAAAAAAGGCCTTTTATTGCCTGTAAGTTATTGGGTTTGCATCTATCAGACAAATAAAAAGGACCACAATATATAAATGAACAAATGAATTAAATAAATGAAAGAGTCTAAAATAAACTGGTAGAGAATTAACAACAACAAACTTCATCAATGAAGCTCTGTTTCAGAAAAAGCCTGCAATTTATATACATACAGACACACACACACATATGATCAACACACATAGAATACATATACAAGCACATACACACAAACATGCATAATCTTTACATATCTTTTATTAGCCGAATATAAGTCAAAATTTAAAACATAACTTCTACTTACTTTGACAGAGATACTCCCCCAGCTTTCCCAATCATCTCTTCATGGTGCAATACTGAGTGGTTCCATGGAATATGGAGGAACTTTAAGAGTGTTCTCATCCACCGTTCAGGATGTAAGACAAGTTGCTCATAGTGAACTAACATGCATTTCTTGTAACCAACCTCCATACACTGGTTATACATAGTCTCTATGGCACGATTCCACTTGGTCAAACAGTCCCTATAGCTGTTTAGGTCAAACCCAGCTATAGTAACCTTTCGAGAAATCATTGAATGTACTGATGCCCGGCCATCTCGAACCATAAGGAGGAATTTGGCATTGGGGAATAACCTAGCAAGGTAAGTTAAGGATTTCAGGGCAAAGGGATCTTTATTACATAAATAAGGGGCTGGCTCTCCATGCTTAACAATAATTTCTAGTAAGAAGGCTTGCATGGCGGAATCCAGCACATCATCAGTGACACCAGCCTCATCCAAGCGGATTTTCTCTTTACTCGACCGTGACCACATCTGCTTCAGGGCCAGGATTCGGGGAATGACCCTGGTTTCCTCTCCACAGCGAATGTCAGGGTGTGCATCTAGCATGGCTCTCATGAGTGTGGTTCCACTCCGAGGCACACCTCCAATAAATATTAAAGGCATATCTTTGTGATAGGCAAAGGTTTTGTTGGCTTTGATGTCTAGGCCGGTTCGCACAGTGGTCTTTGTACTCTCCAATTTGATTGGTTGGCTACGTTCCTCTATTCGGTGATGGCATTCCATGGCATGCTGGCCCAAGTAAAATACAGTCACAGAACTAATCACCAGACAGGCCAATAGTAAGTTCTGCTTCAGTTTTCCAACCATCTTGATGAGGTTATCTTGTTATTAAATTGATATTTTGCTTAAAATGATTTTCAGAAAATGTTCAGGCCATGGAGATTCTACTTCAGAAAGATGATCAACATCTAGTAAGAAAAGGAAAAAGCTATTATATCATCACATTAAGATTGTTTACAAGTTAGTCACTAGTTACCACCATTGCATTTGAAGCAGAAAGAAGCTGAAGCAATCTTGGATGCTTTCGTGCTCTTGGAACACAGTATATGCAAATGTGAGTAAAAAAAAAAATCAACCTTTATAATCAGAAACAGTTTTTCTTAATGTAACATTTTTGAAGCTATGTACGTGTCATAGAATGAAAAATAAATAAAACTGTTTCTATCAGTGAATTGAGCAAATACGCAATATACCCAAGCATGTTTGGAGCCCCAAAAAAGGCTGATCTCTAGTGTTCAGATTTGCTTCATCCCCAAGCAACTGTCATCTCCACATTCTACTATACAGAAAAATAACAACAGAAATATAACATAAAACTTACAAATCTTTAACAGATTCAGTTTATTCATTCCACAATTGATTTAGGTACTACAGACCAGAAACTTAGGCTTGACTGAGAATAAACATCAAAAACGAGAGCAGTACAGTACTTCCACACTTGAAAAAGTCTTTGGTCAGAAAGATATGCAAATAATGACAATAACATGTAATTAGTGCTTCAGTAGAAATATGCAAAGGGAGCATAATGAAAAGGAGTATTCAAGTCTGCCTGGGGAAGCTATAAACATTTTATTAGAAAGCAGGAAGGGATCAGGAGATGGTACAATGGTTATGTCTCTGGACTCCCATGTAGTTGACCTGGCAGCTTAAAACTATGTGGGGTATGCATGTGTGCATGCCCAAGATCCTGAGAGAACAGAGGAAAAGGGACTGCGGTGTGGCCCTAGTATATAAGCAAAATGGCAAAACAGAACATAGCATAATCAGGTGACAGGAAGTACTGGGATGTCAGGGAAGTCATGACACATTTTTGCATATAAAAACATAGAAAAATACATCATGACTTTCCCAACAACCTAGTTCAGGAGAGCTGACATATAGAATGTAAAGAAAACTATGTATGTATGTGTCTGTGATCTAACTCGCAGAAGGACAGATAAGATTTGGATACAAAAAGCATCCTAAGCTGTGTGTACTCTATGACCAAAGACATAGGTATGGAAAAAGCAGGGTCATGTATGTGAAACAGGTAGAACTGCTAGGTTAGCTAGAGTGAGGATATCCATACTAGGAAGTAGACAGCCGACTATACCTAGACTAAAAAATTTACCCTGAATCCTCAAAGGCAAGTATGATGGCTAATTTTATGTGTCAGCATGGCTAGGCTAAGGCGCTTAGTAGTCTAGATAATGCTATGAAGGTATTTTTCAGATGTGATTACCGTATAAACACAGATTTTGACTAAAGCAAACTACCCTCCACAATTCAGAAGGGCCTTACCTAACAGTTTAAGGCCTTAAGAGGAAAGACTAAGACTTCCAGAAAAAGAAGGAATTATCTTCAGGACTACAACTTAGAAACCCTGTCTGGGTTTCCAGCCTGCTGCCCTGCAGAATTTGGTAGAGATTGCAGCATCAATTCGTACCTACCCCACTGCCTGACCGATTTCAGACCTGCCAGCCCCACAATCTCATGAGCCAATTCCTTAAAATCAATACTTCTCCCTTCCATATAACTTTTTGGTTCTGTTTTTCTAGAGAACACTGACTAGCATAGTAAGTACATGTAGGAAAATGACTAGCTACACTAGAAAAAGAATATATTCTGAGACGCAGGAATTCTGATTATGGCCTAATGAGAATGAGGTAGGAGACAGAGACCCTAAGAATATAATTAAGGAATAGGGCCAGAATGGAATCACAAAATGGCTGTTTTAAGATGAGGACACAAGAGCTCAGTGGCAGCTCAGCTCTCACTGAACTGCTTGTTCACAAGAAACAACTTGCAGCAGTAACTCAATGACTGATCTAAAGCAAATACAGTAATTAAGGCTTTTTCCATGTTCCACCACATTTCAGGAAGAGGACAATGGTCTTTTATGGACCAAAGCTTTTTGACAAGGAGAGTCTCATGACCTTTGTACTATTCCAAAATTAGGAGAAAAATAACCAGATCCATGTATCATGTGACACCCACTAAGAGGGGGATGCATGCACAAGCCTCTCCTGAGAACAAGCCCAAAGACTCTCCTGACCAAGATAAAAACCTCGCTTCAGCTCCTCTTAGGCAACGCATTTTCTGGGACCTCTCCTTGCCTGGAAGCTGTTCTCTCCTAAAAAGTTCACTTTGCTATCCCCTCTCTGTATTCACATCTCTAATAAATAATGCATGTGAGACAAAAGAATCAGGTTTGCAGCTGTTTCTGCATTGGGCCCACACACCCCAACTTCCTGTGTCAAGAAGATAGGCAATTCCTCTCCCCATAAACCTAAAGAAAGCTAGATTCTACCACACAGTCATTATTTTTTTTATACTCAAAAGAAATTTGTGGGGAAACAACATAGGAGAAAGACAGATGCTGGTAGAGGGTCAAGAACAGGAGAATTTGTGATCCTAAATCTTCCAATTAATATTTCCAATGAAACATTATTTAGTGGTGACAGATTCAGTGGTGACAAAAATACATGAGAAAGGCAGAGAAATGATCCTACAAAAAAGGTCTTGGGTTGGTGGTGCAGCGGGTGGTGTAGTGGTTGAGGTGTTGTACTCCCACATGGCTGATTATAGTTGGAGTCCCAGACCTGGTGGCTTGAAGATCACACCAGGCATGTGTACATGCATGTCCAAATCCCAAGAGGAGAATGGAGAAGAAGGGATTACAGCATGGCCATTCCCCCCCAGGGGGAGATGATTTCTCACTTTCCCTCTCAAGCAAGCACACATGTCCTGTGGCAAAAACCTAAAAGAAGGCCTCAGACTGGCTGCATATCATAGCAGTTAAATGCTGTGCCTAAGGAGCCAGATTCCACATAGCTGACTATGGTATGAGTCCTAGTCCCAGCAGCCTGAGAAACATGCCAAGTGGCATGTGTGTGCATCCTGATAGGCTGGAGAGATGTAAGATAAAAGGATTGTGGCATGACCATACCCCATTTGGGGTGCTCTCTCTCTGACATGTGCACACATCATGTGGCAATAAAAAAAATTTTTTTTTAAGAATTCATACTTTTGGGACCAGCAGTTAGCATAATGGCTGTCGCTGGACTCCCACGTAGTCGACCGCAGTTTGTGTCCTGGACCCGGTGGCTTAAAACTCACGCCAGGCGCGTGAGCATGTGTGCCCAAGGTCCTGAGAGGAAAATGGAAGAGAAGGGATTGCGGCATGGCCATCCCCTCTGGGGGGGGATTTCTCGCTTTCTGTCTCTCTGGAGAGCACACGCCCCCTATAGCAAAAACCTCTCAAAAAAAAAAAAGAATTTGTATTTCCCATATTATGAACACATAAATGAAATAAAAATTCATTTAAATCTGAACAAAGCAAACCAATCTCACTTAGCAAAGCAAAGAGAGGTTCTTTTAAAGATGTGATAAACTTTAATAACTGATTTCATTTCAGATAGTTATACAGGAATGATTCCTCTGGTACATTCCATTTGTTTGAGGGTTTGCGTAATGCATATTACATGAGAGCAGTAATCACTTAGATCCTGAAATGGAACAGCTTTTTGATAAAATTCTGAACTATCTGTATTTTAAATTACATTTAACTTGCCAACTTCTAATACATGTCAGAATTCAAAAGGTGACAAATGATTCAACTTCTTTCAAAAATTACCTTAGCAACAATTTAAAAATTCAATTGTAGGGACCAGCAGGTGGCATGGTGGTTAAGGTGCTGGACACTCCCACATGGCTGACCACGGTTTGAGTCCCGGACCTGATGGCTTGCTTTCTCATGTCCCCTCTTTCTCTCTCTCTTTCTCTCTCTAGCAAATTAAAAATAAATGAATAAATAAGATTTAAGAAATAATTAATTTTTAAAAATTCAATCGTACAAAATCAAAGTAACTGCCTCTTTGAAATAAATACTTATTGATCGAACAAAATATTAACCAATTAGAGTCCACCTGGTGGAGTGGTGGTTAAGGCAGTGGGATCTCACATGGCTGACTGTGCAGCTCAAGTCCTGAACTCAGCAGCTTAAAAAAACACACGAGGCACATGTGTACATGCATGCCCAACATCCCAAAAGGAGGGAGACATGGAGAAAGGACTGTGGCATGACCCATCCCTACAGGGGGTGCTTTCTTGCTCTCTCTCTCTCTCTTTCTCTCACAACTCTAACCCCTGGTCTCCCTTTGCAGAGTGCACGTGCCCTCTGGCAAAGTACACACACACACAAAAAAAATATTTAAATATTCACCAAACAAAAGTTAACATGACAGACTTCTAAGTTAACTAAAGCGGCAACTAATAGTATCTGATAAGTTCTACTAACTTCCCATTAAACCACCCCAGTTCCTATTAAATATATATTAGGTTGTTGGGAAAGTCATGACATGTTTTTCCATGCAAAAAAGCATCATGACTTTACTGACAACAGAATATAAAGACTAAAGCTGGAAATATATTTTAATGCATTTCCTATCCAAAGACATTCTTATCAATTTTTTTAAAAGATTTTTGCCATGGTACCAGAGGGTTATCTTGAGAAAAACTTTGAAGGAAGAAAAAGAGACTGATCTTTGCTAGCAGATGGTATATCACAGAATACTTGGTATGCAGGGCTGAATTGAAAAGGTTTATGTGTGACTAGTGTTTGCTTTTCAACAATTTAAGTAGTTAGCATGTAAATATTTTCTCAAAAATATTTTAAACCATACTGTCTCTGTTATTATAGATTCACAAACAAAATTATACAAAATTATAAGGAATATTTTGAACCTTATCTTTAAAACTCAGTACTCTGAAATTTTGAAAGTTTTTTATTAACTGTCAAGAACAATGACGTATGAGCAAAATTTTTTGATGTGTAAAGTAAATGTGGAAAAATGGGAAAATAAATAAATACATGGAAAATTACAAAACAAAAAAAGATTTTTGCCATGGGACCAGCAGATGGCACAAT